TTCATTAGTGCTCAAAATAGCACCAACCATACCAGAGTAAAGATCGAGCGAATGACTATTTTTATTTAGAAAAAAATTACCTTGTAGAAATTGATATATTGTATAGAGATTTGATCCAGGAGTGCGACCTAATGAACATGTCATATAAACCAGAGAAAGATATTTTCGTGATATATTGGTACTAAACTTATTTCATTAAGTATATTGGGTAGAATGGGTGGAAACTTTCTAGTTTTGGGTTTTTTTACAGCTACTGCAGATGGCTACTTTGGTTGGTTTGTTGGTAAAGTGATATAGTTTAAGGGGAATATTGAGAAATGCTATAGTTAGAGTGTAGTCTTCATTCGGGTTATATATTATCCATTGTGTTGCAGAACAGAATATTAAAATCAAACAGTAGCAGCATAGAATATGGGGATGATCAAGTAATATTTTGGTTTCGAATTCGTGAAGAAGTTTTTTTTAATAAGGAAGATGGTGTCCATGGTGAGAAAATTATAGGTGCAATTGTAGGCGCGTTAAGATGTAATATCAGTTCGGGTTCAGTTATACCAAACTAATTTATTTCATTATGATAAATATAAGTTTGGAAAACAGTAGTATCTTGTCAGTTTTGATTCGTTTCAAACGAGTTTGATAGAACATTGCTTTCATATTCGTGAATAGAATATCGATGAATAACGTAATTTGAGTTTCTTTTCATAGTTTAAGGCTTATATGTTAGGGCAATGCATTAGGTTATCGGTACAATTTTTATTATTTTTTCTTTATTTTATAGATTTTTTTTTAATTCTTTTTGATCTATTTATTGATTACTCTTTGTAATGTAGATTTCAAATAGCACGAAATTGTAATGGCAATTTACGCGTAATTTATTAGTTGGTATTTAATTCTTTTTGTCCATATTTATATATATATTTTTTTAATATTGATTAAGGAGGTGGGCAAAAAATTTTAATAAGTTTTATTGATGATAATATTAGGAGAAATTACATTAAAGAATTTAATAAAGGAGGAAATAACTAAGGGAGAAAAATTTTAAGAAAAAAAAATAATGAAAAAGAAAACAATTGATTTGAGGTAAAATTTAGCATTAACAATTGCTTATTATATTAAATCTATTTGTATAGATCTAGAGGGAGTGAGCATTGTCGGATGTCTCTTCGTCTTCTTGATCACTAAGAATTTCTTTGCAAGTGATCTGGTCGTCTTGGCCATCATTCTCTGATAGTTTTGTAGCGCTATTCTAGGTTTTGGCTTCTGTGCTTTCAGGTCCTAGGTCATCATTGGCTTCTACATTTTCAGGTATCAGGGAAGGATTTGCCTTTTCATTTTCATATTCTGGATTATTTAACATTGTGGTTAATATAAATGTAATACATTGTGTGCTACTATGAAAAAACCTCATAAGTATTGTAATATTGGCAGGTTTTTACTTGATTGCACGTAATTTACAATGTGAGTATCAAAGTAAGAATTATCTTATTTTTAAATATAGGGTTTATTGTTTTAACCCTTTACTATATTAACTGAGCATTAATTATTTTATTAGAGTAAATAGCTAAAAAGAATAGTGATGCGGTTATTATTGTTGACACTTTACTAATTAGGTAATAATATATTATTAAATGTTTTCGAATATAAATAATAATATATGTATTACCTAATTAGTGAAGATAATTTATGTTATTGACAATTTGAGCGTTTCCCGAATATTTTTTTTATCAGTTTTTAGATTAGTTTATTTTATTACCTTTATTAATATTAGTAGCCGTATTTCTTAATCTTTTTGCTCTTGAGGAGCTTTGCTCTTGAGCACTTTCAATATAGGGGTGTTTACTTTTTCTATTTGTTTTGTTGGGTGGGTTGAGTTTTTCAGCCAATTTTTCCAATTCCTTGTTTCTAGATTTTTTATTTTTCAACAAAGGAGCATCCTCGCTAGATTTGGAGGACCCCTGGCCAGGATAACTCCACTCAATAATCTCACAAGCTATGCAAACTGATTTTTTTAGTATTACCAATTTCCTGGCTACCAAGATTATTGGCTGACGTTTAGTAGCATCAGCAACGTTCGCATGGTGACCTTTCTGGTCATACTTACACAACACTGACATAGTAACTTGGGATACCATAACACTGTCATAGGCATCTCATTTGAGGCGAAAGAAGGTCGTTTCGCCATCTGTGGTACTGGGATCTTGTACTGCAGCTGTGAAAATGCCAAATGCTGGTGATACGGAAGGTCAAATGTGGTAGGGAAATCTTCCATCATTTGAATGTTTAGAGGAGTATTTTGCTCGATCATAACCTTAGATTATTTAGATTAAAAAAAAGAAAGAATAAAAGAAACAAAAAAAATTAGCATATTTAAATTCATATATTTATTTTATTATTGCCTATTTCTCTTTATAGTCACGCTTTTGAGAGAATTAACCTCTAGCTGAGTATATTTTATGAGAACAAAGTTCTTCGTAGTTAAAGGGGTGACTATAGAGAGGCTAGACTGTGGGGAAGATTGGGTGGTTTATTTATTATTTCAGTTAAATGTTTTGTAAGAATGTTATATATATTAACTAAATTTTTTATTTATTATTACATTTAGATCCTTATCATTAAAAGCAAATCGTCTGACTATTAATGATATGCTGTGCCTTGTTAGTTCTTCGACAAGAGTGGTTTCGCTAAATCGAAACACTTTGAACTTGTACTCAACAAATTCATTCGGTCCGATTCTATACTGCAGTCCTGCTACAAACTTTATTTGATTCTGATAAAGTTTTAATGAAAGAAATGGCGCAGAAAATGGATGTCATTTTTTTTATTTTATTTT